GCTTGTAGATCGTTGCCTTTCACCAGAGTATAAGAGAACAAGCCTGGGTAGGGAGGCAGGAGCTTGGTTGAAGGCTCAGAATTTGCCAATGACTTGTGTGACTTTGACTAAGTTGTTGTCCATTTCTGAGCCTTAGTTTCTCCATCATCAAGTGAGTGCAATACTACCAGCATAGATCAGAGCAGATCTGAAGTGAAGTCTTCACACCTCTCTACTTCATCACTTTGCATGGAGCTACACCCACTGCCCACCCCAACCCCAATTAGAGCTGTCCTTGCCTGCTGAGGGTGACAGCAGCCTGCCAGAAGGGGGAAGTGTCTCTCCAGAGTCAGATTCTTGGTCTTTCTTTCCAACCCCCAACCCCAAGTGACACCAAGCAAGGCAAGCATGGGAGGGGATGAGGATTTCCTTCCTTTCCACCTGGCAGGAGGCTACAGTCCACTTGAGAGATTAACGTGGCTTCAGTGGCTGGGGACCAGGCTTTGGAGGAGGCCTTTGAGAACTGGCCTGGGACTAGAGTAAAGAAAGGTGGGCTTCAGTGCTCCTCTAGAATATTTAGCCTATGGCCATAAGTCATGGAGCCACAGCTGTGGTCTAGTGGTGACTTGCACCATCACCAATTGCACCAATGGACCTGTCTTGAGCCATATTGTGGACCATATTGTACTGAGAGCTTACATCTTTTGGCATCTTGTCATATTCTCTGAAGCCCCATTAAGTCATTCATTCATTCATTCATGCTTTCTCTCTGTCTCTTTCTCTCTCTCCCTCTCCCCCTTTACCTCCCTTTCTTCTCCTCCTCTCTCTTACTCTTTCTCAGAGACACATTTGTCCAGAGCAAGACAAGACACACTTTGCCAGCTCCCTGTCAAGATCCTTGCTCCAAATCTCCAGAAGAGCAGCCAGGAGTCTCATGCTATCCCGAAGAAGCAGATTCCTTGCCCACCCTCCAGTTCCTTTTCAAGATGCCATCCTCCTCAAAATCTCTGGAAAAGATACATCTCTCCTTTCTCTAACCGGAGATTGAGGGGTGATGTCCCCCCTACATCCCTGATAAAGCCATGGAAGGCAAGAGCAAAGAATCTCACGGCCTGTTCTTGCTATAAAAAAACCTTTTTCGGAAAAAATAATAAAGGAATCAGCCAATCCCTCCTCGATACCATCACCTCTTCTTGGTGATTTTTCGGGGAAGGAGTGGGTGGGTTGCCATGGCAACAGATGCGAGCTCCTCTCAGTAAAGAAAGGACCTTGATTTTTTTTCCTCTCTCATTCTCTCAGTTGTGTGTGTGTGTGTGTGTGCATGTGCGTGCTACGCATGCCTGTGCCCACACCAGGATTTTTTTTTTTTAAAGAACTAAAGAAAGCCCTTCTCTCAGCTCCCCAAATATGGAGTGATGGAAAACCACTTACTCCTCCAAGCCAGGGACAATTCAGGATGATTCAAAAGAAAAGGGAGAGGTCATGTGGGGCTCCTTTCCTTCTTGTTTTTACTAGATATTATATGCAACCATATGCAACGGAGAGACCTTTGCACATGGTTGGGGACCCTGGGCTGGAAAGGAGAGAGGATGCTACATGAAGAGAGGTGAGCAAGGGATAGACAGGGCAAGAGCCTAGCAAGTGGCATCAGCAATGGCAGCAGAAGGTATACTGAGTCTAGGGAAGCATACACATCCATGCACAATGTCAGCTGCTGAGAGAGAAGGGCCTGGAGCAGACTGAGATGTGGACACAAATGGAGGCACACAGCTGTAGGCATAAATATATACAGGCACAAACAACTACACACAACTCAGGAAGTTGGAGACTTATTTTTTAAAGGGCAGGCATAGACAAAGACATAGGCAAACATAGATACACAGTGGGGGTATGGACACGCAGCTACAAAGTCACATGTGGACACAGATACACAGATACACAAAAACATGTTCAGACAGACTGGCTTAGATGCAGACACATGGATATACAAACACAGTCACAGTCAGATGAACAGACTCTCACACACACACATACATGAGTCTGGCTCCCTTCCTTCAATTGCCCAGACATTCCCAAGCAGTGGTGCATAGCTGGGAATGTCACATGCCTACCCAGTAGAGCATGGGAGGCTTCTGCTCCTCTATTTTTGTACACACTCATCCCAAAGCCCCTCTCTCGATTCATTCACTTGCCCACTTTCCCATAGCTAACAGCTCTGATGCCTCCCCCAGCTCAGGATTTCGATTCTTAGCCTGTTCTGCTGCTGCTGCTGCTGCTGCCACTTGGAGGAGGGAGAGACTGGGGTGACTCAGCCAGGCCAGGATGACTCACATTGCCAGTATTTTTAGCAGCGGCCAGGAGCTCTCTAGCGTGCCAGCCGCCCCCCTCCTCCTGCTTGCTATTTCGGAACCGTCCCTGGTGATATAAATAGCTCCTCTCCCACGGCCTGAAGCTGCTGCCAAGCTATTTTTGGGTTTGCACAGTTAAAAATAGCTTCATGGAGGTGGAAGGCAAGGGGAGTGGGAGCTGGCCTAGGGAGAGGCACATTGGGGCACACAGAGCTTCTCGACTTGAATCACAGTGGGCAAACTAGGATGAGCCCTTCTTTACCCCTCCCTTATCTGTTTCTAGACCCTTCTTTTCTTCCAAAGTGCCTTCTTCCCAGTCCATCCTCCTGGAAAAATCCAGGGGCTTGTCCCTGGAGCCCAGTTCTCCTCCCTCACTTACTTTACTCCTAGAACCCAGGAATTTTGGCCCTCTAACCCCTCTCCAAATTTATCCTCAGAGGAGAATGGCACAGCCAAAGGGGGCCTCATCCTGAGGCCTGTGTGGACCCAAGCCCCGATGTCCCAGGCAAACCATAGCCAATCCGACTTCCAGGACAACTCTTTCAGAACCATGGACAGAGATTAGGGCCCCATTTCTTCCTGTGGATCTGCTCAGCTTGCTGGAGATCAGCTGGATCCAGCCAATAGACACTTCTTATTGTGGAGAGACGCAAAGAATCTCTCCCAGCCAAAGCCTAAAGTATCAATGGGTAAAGAAAACAGGAACTTGTGATATGGAAGGGGTCAAGATCAAGGGCTTGTTAAAATGGAAGTTTCAGGGAGGGTTGGATAGGTACATCAGAGGTGAGATAGGGAAAGGGAAGAGGCCCCAGAGACCTACATCCTGGAGGGTCTGGTCTGTCATCTAAGACAACAAGGTGGGGGACATTGACAGACACTTACCATTCCCTCCACCTCATTTGTGACACTGACCACAGGAGGCTTTACATGGATGGCCTCAATCTCTGCCATAGTGGCACAGCCATAGGGATAGGGTCCCCTAGAAACATGTACCCCTTCGGTCTCTCTTACTACCACCCTAGTCCATGAGAACTGGGAAGTTCCCTGACCCCACACTTTCCTTCTTGGTGTGAAAGTTCCTCTCCACCCGTCCTGTGTGACATTCTACAGTCAGGGCACCTCCCCCCCATTTTTAATTGGCTTCATTTCTAGCCCCTCAAGTGATTTCACAGACGCACCCTACTCCACCAAACGAGATTTTAGATTAAAATATTCCCTAGCCCATGTCCTTCCTTCCTTTATGGGGTCCTGGGGTAAGAACGGCTTCTCCCTGCCCCTGTAGAGAGCAGTCATGTGGTGAGAAGGGAACAAAGAGGATAGAGCGAAGGCGACAAGATGACAAACCTGACGGAACAGAGGCAGAGACGAGATGGGACGGGAGGGGAGCCTTTGCGGTCGGGGTCACACAAAGCTGAGACCTCGCGCAATGAGACAGAGAACCGGGAATGGAGGCGGGTGGGGAGTTGAAGGTGGAGAGACAGCGAGGAGCCCTGTCACCTTCAGAGGGGACCGGGTGGAGGGAGGCGTGGGCAGTGTCTGGCGAGATTTAGGGGTCCTTGGCAGGTGCGGGGTCAGGGAGGGTCCAGCGCGGCCCCTCACTCCTCTGCTGCTTCCCCATCTTCCCCGTCCAGGCAGGGCGGGGAGCTCTCTGAGCGGTGCGGAGGCAGCCGGCCCCGCCCGCCGCCGCCGCCGCGGCAGCCGCCGGAGGATTCCTGTCCTAATATGGAGCTGGGATTCCCCCGGCCCCGCCCCCGCCCCCGGCCCGCCGGGAGACGAGGTTGGCAACGCCGGGAGAGGGGGAGCCGCTAGCTTTGGGGGCCGGCAACGGGGGGAGGGGAACGAGATGCTTGAGTGCAGACTCAGATCCTCACTTGCCCTGGGTCTCTGCCTCAGTTTCCCCACTCAGCAGCTAAGAGTAATGAGTTGGCAGAGAAAGGAAGAATCACTAGACTACCGCGCTGGTGTTGCTGTTTCTACTCTAGTCTGGGGGCCAAATTAAGCTGGTCTCTTTCCCATCGGACCCCCTTTCTACCCCATCCTAGGGACTCAGACCCCCTACGTAACACCCCCTGGTAAAGGCCTGGGTTTGGGAAGGGGGAAAGGGATTTATTCTTTGAAAATGGCCAAGGGAATCCCAGATTAAGTAATTCCCAGAGAGGAACCCCAGCTGTGACCTCTCCCACAGAGGCCAAAGAAAGCCCGTTCCTGCACGTGAACGTGACCTTTGCCTTGTAAATAGCCGGGGGTGGGGGTTGCAGACGACCCTGCCCCTCCCTATTCTCTTATGTTCTCAGAAAAATCAACGTCGCTACCAGCCCCAGTCTGCCCTCTGCAGATTCATACCGGGGGCTTCAGATTGCCCTGTCCCTACCCGCGACTGAGCACACTCGGACGCCTGGGTCCCTACACCCCCGTCTCAGGCTTTCCTGATGCAGCGCCGTTCTCTCTGCTCAGCTCCCGCCAGCCTGGCCCCCTCCGCAGCCTCCCTTCTCGCCCCCCCCGCCCTCGTCCCCCTCCCGCTCTCGTTCTACGTCATGAGATGACGTTGGAAGCCGGGGAGGGAGGAGGAGCGCCCCCCTCCCCAGCCAGAGGCTCCCGCTGCAGCTTGGTTAGCCCAGCCTCCCGCTTTCCCGCCCCCCCGTCTCTAAAACGAGCCCCCCACGCCTGGCAGGAGCTATATAAGGCGGAACGAGGCAGGCGAGGGGGGCAGCGCAGCCGAGCGGAGCCCAGGAGAGGACAGAGAGCGAGCCTGAGCGAGAAGCGGGGAAGCAAAGAGGAGGAAGCCGCCGGTGCGTCGGGACGCGAGCGCAGGTGTTCGGAGCGCCGGAGCTGGAGCTCTGCAGCCGGCAGTCATGTACCGCTCCACCAAGGGCGCCTCCAAGGCGCGCCGCGACCAGATCAACGCCGAGATCCGGAACCTCAAGGAGCTGCTGCCACTGGCCGAAGCGGACAAGGTCCGGCTGTCCTACCTGCACATCATGAGCCTTGCCTGCATCTACACTCGCAAGGGCGTCTTCTTCGCTGGAGGTGAGCAAGTTGGGGCTACTGGAGGTCTGAGCTGGTGGACACCAGGGGACGGCGTAGCTGAGGGAACCCGCGGAGACTGCTGCAAGTCTAGGGCAGCGTGTTGGCGAGCTGGGGAGAGAAGGGACTCGGGGGATTCAGGACTTCTTACTTTTCCTCCTGAGCTCTGTCCAGAACGCACTTAGTTCCCGATGAGGGTTTGAGAGCCTGGATGGTGTCCTTAGTACCCGATTTATGGGAGGAGAAGAGCCAGGGCAGAATGGTCTCTCAGTCCGCACCAGAGTAGAGAAGCTCCGGGAGCCCGGGAGGGAAGCCCGGGAAGTTGCTGGGGAAGGGCCGCCTCAGTTTGCGATGCTGAACGCGCTTTTCTGCCGCCTCTGGGGCGCTGTCCGCGGTGCTGACGGCAGGCTTCTCCGTGCGGAGCTCTGTCCGCGGTGCTGAACTCACGCTCCGCTTTGGGGCTCTGTCCGCAGTTCTGAAATTCAGGATCGCTGAGGCCCGGCCCCGGCTTAGAAGCCGAAGGGCTCGCTGGGTGTGGAGAAACGGCAACAGGTTCCCTGGCCAAGAGCTACGGGTAGCGGGTCAACAGGTGTTTGCAGAGGCAGGTCCTTCAGAAATTCCTCCGGTTCTCTGAAACTCAAACCTTGTCTCAGTAATTTCTATTTTGCCTCCCAATCCTACTCTGGACTCACCATCTCTTCTTACCCTACAGGCACTCCTCTGGAGGGCCCCTCGGGGCTTCTCTCAGCTGAAGAGCTTGAAGACATAGTAGCGGCACTACCTGGCTTTCTGCTAGTGTTCACAGCTGAGGGGAAGTTGCTGTATCTGTCTGAGAGTGTGAGCGAGCACCTGGGCCACTCCATGGTGAGTACTGAGGGTCCTCTCAGCTCTGGCAGGGGCGCAATGAGCTTTCCACTCTGGAGAAAACGAGGACCTCTAAGGAGGGAGGGGTTGTGCCCTGCACAGTGCTGGAACAATGCTCTGCTCTCACTGTTCTCACTAATGGTCATCTCCTCTTTTCCTTCCTCCAGGTGGACCTGGTTGCCCAGGGTGACAGTATCTACGACATCATTGACCCAGCTGACCACCTCACTGTGCGCCAGCAGCTCACCCTGCCCTCTGCTCTGGACAACGGTAGGATAGCCTTCTTCTTTCCTCAGTCCAGTCTCCCTCCTGCTGCCCTGCCCCTGCCCACCCACCGTCTTGCTCAGCCACCATCCTCTTACCAGTTTTCCTCTTTATCCATGCAGATCGCCTCTTCCGCTGTCGCTTCAACACCTCTAAGTCCCTCCGGCGCCAGAGCACAGGCAACAAACTGGTGCTTATTCGAGGCCGATTCCATGCTCACCCACCTGGGGCCTACTGGGCAGGAAACCCTGTGTTCACAGCTTTCTGTGCCCCACTAGAGCCAAGACCTCGCCCTGGCCCTGGGCCTGGCCCCGGGCCTGGCCCTGCCTCTCTCTTCCTGGCCATGTTCCAGAGCCGTCATGCTAAGGACCTGGTCCTGCTGGATATCTCTGAGAGGTAAGCCCAGAGTGTACAGACCCCGGGAGGGAGGGAAGTCAGAGATCAGGGGACCCTAGACTCTGGAGTCAGGGGTAGGGAGGATGGGGTTTAGCATGGCAGATGATCTGGGAGGGAGTGAGATGCATGGGTATCAAAGAGAGAAAGCAGAAAGCTGACCTCACCCTTTCCACCTTCCCAGTGTTCTAATCTACCTGGGCTTTGAGCGCAGTGAACTGCTCTGTAAATCATGGTATGGACTGCTGCACCCTGAGGACCTGGCCCACGCTTCTGCTCAACACTACCGCCTGTGTGAGTGTCCAGAGAGGCTGGGGACAAGACAGGAAGTTGGGAAAGGGAATGGGAGACCAGACCAAGAATGGGTTGTGATCAAGATTTGGATCCTATAGGGTGCTATAGGGTGACCATTAGGGCAAGCAGTTAGGTGAGAATAGAACCAGAACTGGGGGACTCCGAGTGGTGAGGCTGAGGTAGGAAGCTGAGTGGAGCAGAGTAGGGTAGTCAGAGGAGAGAGTTTCATGGCTACCTCAATTCAGCGGAGACATGAGCAGGGGGTCTTTTAGGTAGTGTTGCCTGACGGGCGTCCTAAATCTGTATCTCTTTTCTTCCCAGTGGCTGAGAGTGGAGATATTCAGGCAGAGATGGTGGTGAGACTGCAGGCCAAGCCTGGAGGCTGGGCATGGATTTACTGCCTGTTATACTCAGAAGGTCCAGAGGGCCCCATTACTGCCAATAACTACCCAATCAGGTGAGCTGTGAGGCAGGGTCCTGGGTGGGGGCAGTAGCTGAGGTAGGCATGGAGAAGGTATAAATCAGGGGACTTCTCTGGGAATGGATAACAAACCCTTAACAGCTGCATCCACTCTTCTCTCCAGTGACATGGAAGCCTGGAGCCTCCGCCAACAGCTGAACTCTGAAGATACTCAGGCAGCTTATGTCCTGGGCACCCCGACCATGCTGCCCTCATTCCCTGAGAACATTCTCGCCCAGGAGCAGTGCTCCAGCACTAACCCACTCTTCACTCCAGCTCTGGGAGCTCCCAGAAGCACCACTTTCCCCAGTGCTCCTGAACTGAGTGTTGTCTCAGCATCAGAAGACATTCCTCGACCCCCCAAAGGGATTGACTTCAGTTACCTGACATTCCCTTCTGGGCCTGAGCCTTCTCTCCAAGGAGACCTGAGCAAGGATCTTGTGTGCACCCCACCCTATACACCCCACCAGCCAGGAGGCTGTGCCTTTCTCTTCAGCCTCCATGAGCCCTTCCAGACTCACTTGCCCACCCCATCCACCTCTCTTCAAGAACAGCTGACTCCAAGCACTGCAACCTTCTCTGATCAGTTGACACCCAGCAGTGCAACCTTCCCAGACCCACTAACTAGCCCACTACAAGGCCTTTTGACCGAAACTTCAGCCAGAAGCTATGAAGACCAGTTGACTCCCTGCACCTCCACCTTTCCAGACCAGCTGCTTCCCAGCACTGCCACCTTCCCAGAGCCTCTGGGCAGCCCTTCTCGTGAGCAGCTGACTCCTCCTAGCACAGCTTTTCAAGCACATCTGAATAGCCCCAGCCAAACTTTCCCAGAGCAACTAAGCCCCAATCCTACCAAGACTTACTTCGCGCAGGAGGGATGCAGTTTTCTCTATGAGAAGTTGCCCCCAAGTCCTAGCAGCCCTGGTAATGGGGACTGCACACTCTTGGCCCTAGCCCAGCTCCGGGGCCCCCTCTCTGTGGATGTCCCTCTGGTACCTGAAGGCCTGCTCACACCTGAGGCCTCTCCAGTCAAGCAGAGTTTCTTCCACTACTCAGAGAAGGAGCAAAATGAGATCGATCGTCTCATCCGGCAGATTAGCCAGTTGGCTCAGGGCATGGACAGGCCCTTCTCAGCTGAGGCTGGCACTGGCGGACTGGAGCCACTTGGAGGGCTGGAGCCCCTGGACTCCAACCTGTCCCTGCCGGGGGCTGGTCCCCCTGTGCTCAGCCTGGATCTGAAGCCCTGGAAATGCCAGGAACTAGACTTCCTGGCTGACCCTGACAACATGTTCCTGGAAGAGACGCCCGTGGAAGACATCTTCATGGATCTCTCTACCCCAGACCCCAGTGAGGAATGGGGCTCAGGAGATCCTGAGGCAGAGGGCCCAGGAGGGCCCCCATCGCCTTGCAACAACCTGTCCCCAGAAGACCACAGCTTCCTGGAGGACCTGGCCACTTATGAAACCGCCTTTGAGACAGGTGTCTCAGCATTCCCCTATGATGGGTTTACTGATGAGTTGCATCAACTCCAGAGCCAAGTTCAAGACAGCTTCCATGAAGGTGAGTCCAGCCAAAATGTCTAAGAACTTAAGTCCCTGTCCTGCCAATTTGATGCGGGGTGGAATTAGATGAATCAGTTCCCTCAGTACCTTAGTTTTATTAAGGAGATGACATTACCTCCTGCCAAGGGTAGCAATGAGGATAAGAAAAAATGAAAAATTTAATGTGAGACTTTTGGATTTAGCAGGGTTGGGCATGCGGGGCTGAATATGAGAGGGTCCTTAAACAGAGGCCTGTGAGGGGCCTATGTCAGTCTTCTTCCCTCCATTTTGTAGATGAAGACAATCAATGTCCCAGAATTAAAGAAATTTTCCTCAGGTCACACGACAAACCAATGGAAAGGGGACTGGAGCTCAACTCCAGTAGTCTTCCCCTATAGGGGATACAGAGCAAGAGATTTCTGGGGAAGGAATGGGGATGGGGCTCAGCCCTGGCTCCACTGCAGCAGCTCCCCATCCTCTCCAAACTGCAGCCATAGGTACCCTCCATCCATCCAAATTGTCTCCCTATCTGCTGAGCCTTTGGAGATCATTCAGTTACAGGGCCAACATATTTGAAGCTCATGCTATGTACCAACACCACGTCACATTCTCAGTCCAAGGACCTCCTGTCCTAATAGGCTGAACTGACCCCACCCTCTCTCTCTCTCTCTGCAGATGGAAGTGGAGGGGAACCAACGTTTTGAATAAGTCTGTGACTTAACGTCGTCAAGTATGGCATATTGTCATCAAGACGTGGAGCCGCTCTCCACCCCCCCAGGACTGTTGGGGGGATTCTGGGGGCCAGAGGGGGATATATCTAATTCCCAGGCCCTGAAGACTGGGGGGGGGAGGTGGGAGGGTAAGGGAGGGGAGCTTCTTTTTAAAATCAAGAGACTCTGAGCGATCCCAGTTTCCATTTCAATCTGTATTCACTCGTAGTGAGTTTCCTTGAATGGGATTTCAAGCGGAGAATGGGGGAGTCTCACTTCCCTGCCGCACTGCCCCACTGGCCTGGGCCAGTTCTCCCCTCGTAGGGACGAAGCCACCCCTGGGCCACCTGGGCCAGCCTGTGCCCTGAGGGGCTCTTGACATCCACGTAGAATTCTCTACACACCAGTAACGGGATTTCAATTCCGATGGACTCTGCCGCCCTGGCGGCCCTTCCTGTGACTTTTGCGCCCCGCGCCTGGGGTGGGGGGCGCGAAGAGACGCTACGTTCCTTTCCGATGGAGGAAGGCAGACCTGCCATCACACATGTGCTTGCACGAGTGCGTGTACCTGGTGCGGGACTCACCCGGCCACCAGACCGCCTGGACCTGCCCAGACGGCCACCTCGTGGTGCTGCGGTGACTTTGTAGCCAACTTTATAATAAAGTCCAGTTTGCCTTTTTGGTACCCCCAGTGTCATACATTGCTGTGAAATGGGAAGGGTGGGGGAAAGAAAGTTGGGTGGCTTAGATGGGAGCCCCAGAGTTTGGAGGTAAAAGGTGAACATGTTCCCAGTGCCAGCATCTCTTCCTTCACTCATGCACTCATTCATTCATTCACTCACTCAACATCTACAAGTACAGTGCACAGCCCATGCTGTGCTGGAAACTGGAGAGTTTGGAGCTGAAACAGATGCTGCGTCTTCTCCTCATAGCGCCACACACAGTGTGAGAGGGTAACAGATCTCCCTCCTGCTCACGGTGCAGGATAGCACTCAACATCCTGGACACGGGTCTGAAGCTTGTGGACATGAGTTCTTTCTTTGCTTGGCCCTGCAGAGAAGCAGGGGCCATGGGTCTTTCCATTGGAAAGATGACCACCTCTGTTATCCTTGCATAGGGCTTTTAGTTGACACACTTTTACATCCCTTATTCACAGCAACTAAACCCCTGGGCAGTAGTATTAGACCATGTCATTGACCAGAATCACAGGGAAAAAGGGACTTGCCTCCACAGTGAGAGGCAAAGGGGGGCAACACACCCACGTTAACCTGCATTCCAGCCCTAGGCTGTGTTCTCTGTCCCCCACGCCATGAACCACCAGCTCACATCCTCTCATCCCAGATTACCCAAGAAGGGCAAGTTGGTCTGGAGCAGGGGCCTCTCCCTGGAGTGTGGGGTGACGAGCCCCTTCCTTTAGGCCCCTCCAGGTCTAAGAGCTGGAGTAGAATATAGCTTAGTGTAGCAGTTCTCACCCTGTGGGTTACGACCCCTTTGTAACAATGAAAATACATTCTGCATATCAGATATTTACATTACAATTCATAACAGTAGTAAAATTACAGTTATGAAGTAGCAACAAAAATAATTTTATGGTTGGGGGTCACCACAAGATAAAGAATTTTATTAAAGGGTCACAGGATTAGGAGGCATTAGGAAGGTTGAGAACCACTGGCTTAGTGGGTCAAGAAAAACAAGTTTCCAAAGATGCTGTTTTCCTCCAAGCTTGAGGGCTAAAATTTAGGAGACAGGCCAGGTGTGGTAGCTTGTGCCTGTAATCCTAGCACTCTGGGAGGCCAAGGCAGGTGGATTGCCTGAGCTCACAGGTTCGAGACCACCTGAGCAAAAGTGAGGACCCCCCCTCCCCATCTCTAAAAATAGCCAGGCATTATGGCAGGCACCTGTAGTCACAACTACTCAGGAGGCTGAGGCAAGAGAATCCCTTGAACCCAAGAGTCTGAGGTTGCTGTGACTTGTGATGCCAGGGCACTCTGCTGAGGGCAACAAATGAGACTGTCTCAAAAAAAAAAAAAAAGTATGGACTTTAATAATAATGTATCAGGCGGTGCCCATAGCTCAGTGGGTAGGGCCACATATACTGAGGCTGGAGGATTCAAACTGGCCTGGCCCTGCTAAAATAACAATGACAACTGCAACAACAACAACAAAAATAGCTGGGCACTGTGGCGGGTGCCTGTAGTTCCAGCTACTCAGGTAGCTGAGGTAAGAGAATCGCTTGGAGGCTGCTATGAGCTGTGATGCCACGGGACTCTACCCGGGACAACAGCTTGAGACTCTGTCTCAAAAAAAAAAAAAAAAAGATGTATTAACGTTAGCTCATTAATTGAGAGTGATGTACTCTATAAGAGTAAGCTGTTACTCCATTTCCATGAGAAATGGTGTATGGAAACTCTGTACTGTCTTCACAACTTTAAGCCTAAGTCTACTTTAAAATGCAGTTTCTTTAGAAAGGAAAAATAAGTAAAAATTTAAAAGGAAAAATTGTGTGAGAGAAAAACAAAACGCTTTACTGGTAGTGGTGGTGAGGGGTGGTGGTAGAGTGTGTGTTTTGGGATGAAGAGATACCCGGACATTCAGCTCAAGATATCTGTCCCCTTGTCTCTATGCAGAGAAAAAATTTGAAAAGCCAATGGCGCCTCCTGCTGGACAAAGGAGTACCTGCTGCTATTCTTCTCAGTCCCCGTGGTTGGGGGCATCAATACTGTGTCCTAGAACAGATGGGTAAACTAAGGCCCAGGAAAGGACTCACCCAATAGCATGGCTGGAGTGGTTGCAGAAGCTGGATCTGGTTCTCAGCCAGTACTCATGTTGTCCCAGCTAGATCGCTGTCCCGGGAGGAAAAATGGTACGAGAAAGGGCTCAAGTTTTAGCATCATAAAGACTGAGCTCAAGTCCTGGTTCTGCCATCTCATTTTTCCTTGTGATAAATAGTTATGACCTACATGTTCTAGTAGCTTTTCTGGGGGCTGGGAGAAACTGAACAAGAAAAACAAGGTCCCCGGGCTCGCAGAGCTCACACTCTAGTTGTGAAAAGCACAGGGCAGTAAAGGAAAGAAGCAGCGTGCGGTGGCAGAGGGAGATGGGTAGGGCTTCTGATTTAGAGTGAGTGTCTGAAAGCCCTTCTAAGGAGGCAACATTGAGCTAAGACCTAAAAGAGAAAGAGAAAGAAGCCAGAGTAAGGTTATCAACATAAGGAAAGACTTTGCCAGTTTATGGAATAGAAAAGAAGTTAGTGGGGCTGGATCAAGGCAAGCAGGGGCAAGTGTGGTGGGAGAGGATTACCCAGTGCCCTTGGACCATGCCGAGAAACTTAGATTTTATTCTATGTGCAACAGGAATCTGCTGAGGAGATTCAGGCAAGAGAATGGCACGACAGGATTCACCATTTTAACCCATCCCACTGACAGCTGTGAGGAGAATAATTGAAGGCAGGAGTGGGCTTCACTAGTGGTCCAGGCAAGACAGGAAGAGGAATTTCCCCAGAGTGCCTGCAGCAGGTACAGAGGGAGGTGTGTGAGTGGATCTGGAACACTTCAGTGGATCTAGAACCGATAGGATTCACTGATGGATTTAAAGCGGGGTGAGGAAAAGAGGGGAATCCTGTGTTTCTAACTTTAGTGAGTGAAGAGTTGCTGTTTACGTAAATGAAAACAACTGGCCAGAGGCAGCAGCTCATACCTGTAATCCCAGCATTTTAGGAGGCTTAGTCCCAACTGTGATTACATAAAGTTTTTATTTTCCTATAGGTGTTTTTCTATGTCTTCCAAAATTTTTCAGCATAAAATGAAGTGTGTAGCACAGAATAGATGCTCAGTAAATGCAAACCTCTTTTCTCTTCTGACTCCTTCTCCCTTCTCTAAGGACAAGAATTCTTGATGTTCTGAATAATGGAGAAAACAAGAGGCCAAGGGCTTCCTGAGGACTCCTCCTGCCTCAGCAGGTACTTACTGAAGCTCTGCTACTCCTGCGGGTATCTAGCTGTGAAGTCTACAACAGTGCAAGGTCAGCAATATCGGACCAAGAGCCAGGGTCAGGAGCTTAGTAAAGGGGCCTGGAATAGCCTCTGGGATCTAGGGGCTCCGTGTAGTAACCCTGCCAGAACTGAACTGAAATCCACACAGTGTCTATTTCTGCTGAGAAGGTGGGGCCCCAAGAGATAAGAGATTTCTGAAGGAAGAAACAAGCAATACCCCCAGTAATTATGGCCCTCACCTACTCTGACCATTCTCACTCCCCTGGGAGAGAAAGGACACAGCATTTCTAGTCAAAAGGCCTGGGTTCCACTCCTACCTCTGGTGCAGGCAGAATGGGGATCAAAGACCCCATTCTTTTTTTTTTTTTAGACAGAGTCTCACTATGTCACCCTCAGTAGAATGTGACATCACAGCTCACGGCAACCTTAAACTCTTGAGCTCAAGGGATTCTCTTGCCTCAGCTTCCCTAGTAGCTGAGACTACAGGCGCCTGCCACAATGCCTATTTTTGTTGTTGTTGTTGTAGTTGTTTAACAGGCCTGGGCTGGGTTCAAACCTGCCATCCCTGGTGTATGTGGCCAGTGCTGTAACCACTGAGCTACAGAAGCCAAACTCAAAGACCCCATTCTTGGCAAGGGAAAACACCCCCAGAAAAAGGGTAAAATATAAAAGTAAGTTAGGGAAGGCAGAACAAAGAAAAGTTATCTTGTTTATCTTTAAACCAGCCACTGCTAATTTTCTTATCTGATCAAGTTTTCTGCTTTTCCTAGAAGCTTGGCCTGTTGGGGATACAGCTTGCAATCACCCCTGCTGGGTCTCTGAACACTCTGAAAGTATAATGGTCACAGAGGAAGCTGTGTGCAAGGGATAGCAAGAAACATTAAGTAGGCAGTCCCTCAGTTAACAGTCAAAGCAAATCCCCATTGTGGAGATTTGTATTTGGCTGAGGCAGAGATCAAGGGAACAACTTGAGCTCTAAAATATGGGTAGGAGGGCTAATATCCCTTATTGCAGAGAAAGACCCTCTGTGGTGGTGATTAGAGGAAAATTCCTCTTTCCCATCGATTCTTCAGATGAGCTTGACACCAGTGGTGTTTTACTCCACAGTGAACTAGCAGGTATTAACACCCCAATAGGAATCTGTATGTGTGACCTTAGACTGAAGGCTGCCCCCACACAGAGCTCAGGTTCTGGATTTCTCAAGACTGCTCAGACCCTTAATGATTATAGAAACAATAGAAGCTGATATGCTCAGAGAAACTGCTGATGTCTTTGTTCCCTTTCTCAGCTTAGCCTCTGGGCTAATGAGCAAATAGCCTTCAATGAAAGCTGAGTGGAACTGACACTCGGGGCTACCCTCAGAACCCCACAAATGGGTGGTGGTCCCCTGTGCTCCCATGTTGGAAAATTCTATTCTGTGTATCTTATCTCTTTGTCTCTTGTCGTTTCTAACTTTACTTTTCCCCAGTCGATCACCGCCAGATGCACGGGTCTTAACGGACCCTGCCCAGAGGGAGGGACCCCAACACTCTGGCACCAACTTAGAAGCTGGGCAAGTCACTTTGCTTGGCTGAGCTTTGGTTTCAGCATCGAAGAAGCAGCATGAAGACCCTACTTCCTAATGTCTGTCAATGTTGGCTACCATCAGCACTGGCCTCCTTCCCTAGAGTCCAAAGACAGAAGTTGAGAGTGGGTGACAAAGGATGTTTATTCAGGCTTGTTTCCTTGATAAATAATAATCAGGTTGGTATGACCTTGACCTTTTGCAGAGCCTTCCCAACTGGCCCCCTTCCCAGCTGCTGCTTTTAAAATCTTGGGAGTGTGAAGGATCACTTCTTGTCAGCTTCTGCCTGGGCCGCCAAGTCTGCCTCTTTCTGAGCAGCCAGGAATATAGCTCGTTCCCTCTGGAAAGCTGCCAGCTCTTCTGCACTGAGGCTGCAGGTGAAGACAGACAAACTGTTGGTGAGTGGCCAGTCACTTGTGGGAGCTCACAAGGCCTATATTGCTGTCTCAGAGCCCAGCTTGCCTTACCCATCTCCCTTCCTGGACTTCTCAGCATCCATAGTTTTACTCAAATCTCTGTCAAGACTGCCGCCCCACAACTCCTACCATGCTCTGCCTTTTATTCCCTTATTAAAGCCCTATTCACACATTGAGGCCTTATCTCTACCCCAATCCAGGTTAACTGGCCCATCCTCTGTGCTCATAAATACTGTTTCGGTGATGAAGTCACAGCTATGCATGTATGCCTCCCCCAGAACAGGAATCAGACTTATTCAGCTCTGTGCTCCCAGGAAAAATAAATATTTGAAACAAGTCAAGTTTGTCTCTGCTCTATGCTTAACCCCATTCCTCTTGGGAAAAAACTGTCCGCCTTCACATGAAGTATGATACAAGCAACAAGATGCCAGTGAAAAGCTGAGTGCTATCCCTGTCCCTGCTGTTGTCTGGATATTGCTTTCCCATCCAATATCTTACTTCAAGAAAGCAATTCCTGAGGTCATCTGAAGCCCCATGGTGGTGGTAGAGAGACAGGGGGGACTGCTGTTGACCTCAGGAGCAAATCTGAACTTGGCACAGTTCAAAAGGTCTTTCCCCATAGGTCCCTGCCACATATCATACCCCCACTCTCCCCAATCTGCCTCTAAGTCTGCATGCCCAAATCACACTGAATTTCTTTATTTCACTCTATCACCTTCCGTCTTTCACAGGGATCTTTCCACTTCTGCAAGATTTCTCCTCAGTTCTTCATCTCCTTTTCTGGGTCTTTGCTTAATGTCATCTTCCCAATACACCCTCACTGACACACTCATTATGCAAAATCAGGAGCCCCCCTCTCTGCTCTCAAGACACTCATAGTTCTTTTACCAAACTGACCATCTGACAGTCTAATGCTCCACTAATGGGTGTGCCTCTACCTCTGGACTGTGAGTTACTTCTGAGTGGGGTCAAGCATGACTGCTTTGTTCCTGGCTATATATGACGTCCAGAACAATGTTTAGTATGTAACAAGTGTTTAACAAGTATCCCCCAATGAATGAACAAACGAGGCCTCCCACTTCCACCCCATCTCCTAGAATTCAAGTCCTTTGTCTCAAAAGCTGATTTTCCCACCATAGTGGGCCCTTTCTTCACACTGCACCTCCCAGACACTCACTCTGTTACCACCTGAATGCCCAGGGAACGGGCAGACCCAATGATGGAGCGGACAACAGAGGACATGGGTACATCCTGCAAAGCGAAGGCCTCATCCTGAGCTTTAACACGGGCAATCTCGTACACATGCTTCAAAGTCACCAGGCCTGCCACCTCTTTCCCTGGGTGGAAAGAACAAGTGGCTCTTCAGGTGTTATTGTTCCCTTTCAGAGCTGCCAGAATCTCAGTTGCCCACTCTGGCTCTCACCTGTCTGCCGGGCCCCCTTCTCAATGCCAGCAGCTGCCTTCAGGAAATAGGAAACAGTGGGTTGTCCAATCTTGATTTCAAATGTCCTGTCAGGCTTAACAGGAAAAAGAAATATGAGAAGATCTCTTCCTGCTGCCCTAAGCCAGGGAACTTCTAGCATCCTGTCCCCCTTTCCTTCAAACTCATCTTCCTTGATGTCCCTCTAAGAGAACACAAAAATCACAAGGAAAATACAAATCTGCAGCAAACATCCCTGTCACTTCCACTCCAGGCCCAACTCTGCTCTAGAACCCCTAGTGAGAAGCAGGGGCAAAGGGGAGAACTGTAATATGGCAAGACCAGGTGGACTTGGAAAAAATTTAGTCTAGTCTTCACTGTGTAAATGGGGAAAGTGGAACCCAGTAATGGAAAGAGATTTGTTTGTGCCTAGTCAGGAGAAGAGTAGCAACCCCCCCAGGGCCAGGAAGAATGAGCGCTGGGTTGGGCAGGAGAAGAGAGGGAAATCGGGAATAAGAGTCCACCTTCACAAAAATCTTGGTAGGCAGAGGAATGCCTTCTTTTATGTCCTTCGTCTTCTCATTGAACTCCTTGCAGAACTGGTTGATGGAAACACCTCGCTGTGAGAGAAGCACAGGAACTCAGTGCTGGCAACAGGGGATGGGAGCTGAATTCCCTCCTTCGTCTTCCCTTCTCTTTGTTCCCATTCTTTCCTCTATCCAGATTCAACTACCACTGCCACCATTTGTACCCACTTTATCGTCACAAAAGTATAATGAAGCTTGAAGACTCTATGTTAAACTCAGGTAAGGACACAATGCGCGTGAACACAGCCATGCTCTGAAGCCACCCTGGCTCCAGGGCCCCCACCCTCCGCCGCCTCACACGGCCGCACCTGACCCAGGATGGGACCTAATGGGGACCCACGGCCGCACCTGACCCAGGATGGGACCTAATGGAGGCCCAGACATGGCCTGGCCTGCTCGCACGATGGTCCGGATCACGCCGCCGGCCTCGGGCTTCTTGAGGCCCCGAGTGGCCCGGCTTAGCTTCGACATGGTGCAGAGGTTCGGGTTTAGTTCACCTCACGGCCGCCGCAAAAGCCACACTCTGGGTGCCACCATCTTGAGCCAAAGGTCAAGGGTCCTCACGCTAGGCCAGTGCAGGCGAGGCCAACAAAAACATCCTTGTTTCAGTCCTACGCTCGCCACCTAGTAAGACGAGGAGGGCGAGAGAAAGAGAAAAAAACCTTTGCCGTGCTTTCTGCAGATAGTGGAAAGACACGAATGGACTCAGTACACACATTCTCCCGGGAGCATGCACAGGCACTGCCTCGGACAGCTAAAAAAAGTGGGCGGTACTTGGTGCTCGCACGGCATTGTGGGTGTGGTAGTTTTGACCCCCTAGTGCAGGTCTGGCAAATTGCTGCGCGCCGGGGCGCCATCTGCCGGACACAGTCATAATCTTAGGGTTTGAAATTAACCTGGTCGCTGTCCCGGGTCACTGGGAACCCGACTCCTTACTGGAGTCTTGTTTCCTTGCCTGTTCTTGAAAAGCAGTGTGGTAAAGAGGGTAGACCCTGGAAGTAAACTGCCCAGGTGCTCCTCTTTGCTGGCTGTGAACTTGATCAAATTACTTAATTTTATGCTCTGCTTCCTTCCCTGTACAATAGGTATTATAATATGTAACACCTACCTCGGGACTGTGGTGAGGATTGAGTTAACGAAGTGCTTTAGAACAATGCCTGCCCCTGGTAAGCATGTGGTGTGATTATCTGTACAATGAGAGCTGCTGTGAGGCATAACAGGTCCAGAACATTTGATACATTATCTGTGAGCAATCAAAGAAGCCAACATCTTATTCTATCATTTAACTTGTTTTCTGAGCACTTGCTATAGGTCAGGCACAGTGCTTAGCCCTTTAAGAGCATTATTATCTTATTTACTCCCCAAAATGGCATGAGGTGAATACTTTTATCGCACACCTTTTAGAAATTTGAGACACAAAAGATGACCAATATTATCCTTTATTAAAATAATTTGTTCTGTAAAATTTGAATTCAGTCAAAAGGCTGCACTCAAGGATCCAGAAGGCTACATGTGGCCCCAAGGCACAGGTTCCCCACTCCATGCTTTTTTTTTTTTTTTTTTTGAGATAGAGTTTCACTTTGTCACCCTTGGTAGAGTGCTGTGGTATCATAGCTCATAGCAACCTCCAACTCCTGGGCTCAAGCAATCCTCTTGCTTCAGCCTCCCAAGTAGCTGGGACTACAGGCACCAGCCACAGTGCCCAGCTATTTTTGGAGACAGGGTCTTACTTTAGCTCAGGCTAGTCTCAACCTCCTGAGCTTAGGCAATCTACCCACCTCAGCCTCCCAAGTGCTGGGATTACAGGCATGAGCCACCGTGCCCAGTCTCCTCCCACTCCATGATTTTAACCAAGACTCCATACTGCCCCATCTAGTAAAATGAGAGAATCCATGTAAAACTACGCTGTAAACTGTGAAACATAAATTTTTTTTCTATGAATGCATATTAGACTCCCACTAATTAAATGTGGTTGTCCCTGCCTCTGAAGTGTGTCAAGGCCTTTGTAACACTCAGTCTCATTACACATATCAAGACTCTGGAACCAAGCTGTAAAATCTTGGGCAAGATCATTAACCTCACTGTACTTCAGTTTCCTTTCTCGTAAAATAGAGCTGATACATAGTAATGGTAACTGCCTCCTAAGAAATTGGTCAATTCAGGTGAAGCACTTGCAGAGCCTGGCTCAGAACAAGCCAGGCTGGGTCTGATTTATCTCTGTGTGCCCCACAGTCAAACAAATCCTTAAAAAAACAAAAACATGGGCGGTGCTTGTGGCTCAGTGAGTAGGGCGCTGGACCCATATACCAAGGGTGGTGGGTTCAAACCCGCCCTGGCCAAACTGCAACAACAAAAAACAAAATAGCCAGGCATTCTGGTAGGCGCCTGTAGTCCCCAGCTACTCAGTAGGCTGAGGTGAGAGAATCACCTAAGCCCAAGAGCTGGAGGTTGCTGTGAGCTGTGACGCCACAGCACTCTCCCAAGGGTGATGGGTTGGACTCTGTCTCTTAAAAAACAAGAACAAACCTGGTTTCTTGTACCCTCAATGAATCCCCAATAATAAATTTAAAAAAAAACAACTTTTTTTTTTTGAGACAGAGTCTCAAGCTGTTGCCCTAGGCAGCATGCTGTGGTGTCACTTCCCAAGTAGTTGGGACTACAGGTGCCCGCCACAACACCTGGCTATTTCGTTGTTGTAGTTGTTGTTGTTGTTGCAGTTGTCATTGTTGTTTTAGCTGGCCAGGGCCATATAGGGCCGGCACCTTACCGACTGAGCTATGGACACCGCGAAACATAACTTTTTTTAAGACAGTCTCACAGTGTGGCCCTGTGGAAAGTGCCATGCTGTCATCATAGTTCACAGAAACCTCAAACCCTTGGGCTCAAGAGATCCTCTTGCCTCAGCCTCCCAAGTAGCTGGGACTGTGGGTACCCACCACAATGCCTGGCTATTTTTTCTACTTTTGATAGTGATGGGGTCTCTCTCTTGCTCAGGCTGATCTTGTACGCCTGGGCTCAAACGTCAGCAACTACATCAAGCCCCTTTTACAATTATTTATTTATTCATTTGTATAAATTTGTGGGATACAAGTATAATTTTGTTACATCTATAGATTTTGCAGTGGTCAAGTCAGGGCTTTAAGGGTGTCCCTCACCTGAATAATATGCATTGTACCTATTAAGTACATTAAGTAGTCTCTCATCACCCATCCCTCTCCCACTCCCTCACCCTTCCTAGTCTCCACTGTCTATCGTTTCACTCTCTATATCCATTGTTTAGCTCCTACTTACAAGTCAGAACACGCAATGTTTGTCTTTCTTTGTCTGGTTCATTTCATTTAAGATAATGACCTCTAGTTCCACCCATATTGATTCAGGATCTCATTCTTTTTTTTTTTT